ATGGGTAAACGTCAAACCAACTAAATGGGTTAATCATCACTATATCATAAATCAGTTATTTGATACTCATTTCCTTAACTCTGAAGCTGCAAAGTCATTCCACCTGAAATGGCTAATGGCTGTAAGAAATAAATGTGCTAGACATCAATTTCATATAGCACTATGGGAAAGTATAGTAGCAAAAAGGGTTAGGAATGAGTTTGTGATTAGGCAAAAGGTAGAGGTTGAACAGTACTAGAGGGTAATATGGTAGCGAGATAGGGAGCTGATGGGGTATAGTATATGGTAAAGGTTGGAAGGGGAAGGAGTTAAGGGAGTAGGGAAAAGTTCGCTTGAAAACAATCTTTATTTCCCCTACATTTCTGGGTTGTACTTTCTCTTAGTGTGGTCAGTTGTTCTTAAACCATAAAATGTTTAAATTGTTTTCACTTGAATTTCTTATTTATTAATTTATACATTTATTATTTGACCAATTTATTTGTTTAATTTTTAAGAATTAAACTTTCAAAAATAATAATAATAAAGATAAACAGGATTCTCAACACCAGAAACTAACCTTTAAAGAACCCACAATTGTTTTTGTGTTTTTTATAGCCTTGCATTATCCCAGGTCAGGAAAGAAAATTCAGAACAAAGCTCATTCTAAAGATTATTTTATTTTATTTTTCTGTTTGAGCTTCACCCCCAAAATCACACCAACAGTAAAGTAATATTTGGTACCATGAAAAAGCTTGATACTAAATTAACATTTTTAATGTCAGCCACATTTACATATATGTCAGAAACCATGATTTTTTTAAAATCTAGTTACAGTAAAGCTAAATATATTGCCCATTGAGTAATTAGACGATACTCATTACTGTCCTTTGCTCCTTTTTGTATATATCTCTACAAACAAATATTAACAAAATAGTTAAACTGTTCATATCAAAATACCTCTTCAATAAGATTAACATAAAAAAAATATTATCAAATATAACATAAAAACAATCATTTTTTTCCACACACACTTCATGATTTAAGCCTTCGAATCCTCACAAAAGAAAGGGAAAGATGGCTTTTCTCTTTAGAGGATAGTCCTTAAATGTTTCCCGATACCATTTGTGATTCATCACTGCAACCTGGACCTGAAATGTATTGGTATTCATAAATTAGTAGCATAACAATTTCTTCCTCTGTGTTATAATAGACTTCTCCAAATCAACGTCAGAGCATTTATATTTTACCATAATAATATTTACTTCATGTATTCCGTAAAGATCATTCCTCACCTGATTACAAATGACCCAAGTTGTGACAAAAAGCCACTCTGTGTGACGCCAAAGAACAAATGTGATTCCCACGTATACAAGGACCTCTGCAAACATATGTGGGCAAGACAGCAGATCAAACATTCCACCTCTCGGCATCATGTGCTTTTCTTTGGCAGCCTTTCCTGGAAATATATTGTGATTAAGAATTACCATAATCCTAAAATAAGCACACAAGGAAAACACACATACACACACTCAAACACAAACACATTGAACTATATAACTAAGAAGGTATGAATGAAAACAAATTCTTATGGTGCAACCAAATATAATTTCATTTTCATTTTTATCAGACTTGTTGATTCATTCTCATTCCCCTCATTTATGCTTTTGTTTCCTTTTCATTCCTTTTCATCTCTTCTATTTTTTCCCCTTTACTTTTTTCTTCTTTTCCTTTATAACAAAAGGGCTAACTAAAAACATACCCTCCACTGATTTACTGAAGAGTAAAATCTCATCTACAGTTAGTTCCCAAATTCCATACAAATTAAAGAAGTCACTTAGAAAAGCCAATGTACCACTAAAATTATTCCCTACTGTTCAAATACTATTGTCCTCATTTATTGCCTGTCATATTATAAGTAAAAGTTATGCAAACTCACCTGAATTCTTCCTCAGTGAAGCCAATATATTAAGACTGGAGAACTGAAGAACATATCCAGCCAGACACAATATACAACCAATTACATGACACATTTCCACACTGGTAAATGTAGCATCAAACTCTGCAAAATATAGTTCTATACAATATCCATATATTCTAAAGATCATATTCAATAATATAAACATTCATGTACTAATGTGCTGCATAGATCTGCATAAGCAACAATGTATGAAAGAAAAATACTAATAAAATACATACTTTGGCCATCAAATCCAGGTGCTTCAGCCAAGAGTAGAGTCACAGCACCAAGATAATGCGTATGACCAACAATATAATGGAGAATATTGATGTGGCCTGAGCTGAAAACACTAACAAAGAGGTTCTCATACAGTCGCCGATATATCTGGAGAGCTAGTAAGACCAGTCCTATTGCTGCAGATGTGCTGGTGACTGAAAGAGTTGAAATCTTTATTTTAAATTGTCAACTATATGTGCATATCTAGAAAATAAAAAGCCAATACATAGTCAATATGTGTATATAGCTATCTATCTATAAATATGTATACTTGATATATATATATATATATATATATATATACACATACATTATGGTTAATAGTTACAAAGTAAAATAAGTGCAAGACATCAAAGGTCATATAGCACTAAAGAAAGTTGTAACTGTGAAAGGGTAAAGAGGGTAGTTAGTTGATGATTAAGTGTGTTGCACATCAAAAGTCTTACAACATTTCAGGAAGGCAAGGATTAACAAGGCTGATAAGATCAAAGTTGTCAAAGGAAGAAGTGTGGCATTCTGCAAGAATGTACATTGGGTAAGGTAAGGATTAGTAAAAGGAGAAAGGTGGTGTAAGGGTGATTAGATCACAGTTTCAGGAAAAATGTCAAGAGGGAAAGCAGGGAAAGGGGGGGGGGGGTTGTGAAAAAACGTTCACGTGTGTATCCAGGGGGAAGCAGAAGGGATCATACAGAAAGAAAGGAGGATGAGACAGTTGAAGCAGGGGGAAGGGGGTGTTGGAAGGGGTGTAGGGGGAACATAAGTAGGAGGAGGATGGATATTGTCAGTTACTTTGAGTGTAGTAGAAATGGGAGCAGACATCTGAGGACAAATGAGGTGTAGGCATGTTATCTTTGGTCATAATTTGATAGTTTTAAATGTCTTTTTCTGTGGAGTGTTGTCATGTGCAATGAGTTGGGCAAGGAGGAAGAGGGGTAGATTGGAGTGTCTGGAATAGTGCTGGATTTAGAAGGGCAAAAGTGGGAGAGGGAGGGGAAGAAGTGGGATAGGAAAAGATACTGGGCAAGATGTAGAAAAATTTTGGGATGGAGAGGGAGTGGAAGAGCGAAGGGCAGCACTGGAGTAGGAAGAAAAGAGACAAAGTTCATCTGCATGCTTCCTGTCTCCTCAGAAAGTGAGGCCAAGATTGAATCTGAGCCAGACTCAAACTTGTAGGCAGGGCAGTCCCTATAAAATACATTATGGGAGCCACGACAATTGGCACATGTGTATGACTGTGCAGAGCAGTTTGATCGATCATGAACAGGTTGGGCACACAGAGGGCAACAGGCTGTGTTTGGCAGGGTGGTCTATACACCATTTCTGACACTGACAAGGTTGCTATGGTCAGACAGAGGGATTCTCAGCCAATATAAACATTAAGCCCTACAGTATGGATGACATTACTGTCCCATCATGGAAAAATCTGGGTCTAGGCCACGTGACCATGCCATCATCGGACAAAATGGCAGTGGCTGGGTAACGCGAAATTGCCGTCATGAGCAAATGCCAGGGTGACGGAAAAGACTTGCCATGAGTGCACAAACCTCTTAGAGTGTTATGTCACTTCCTAGTCTATGAGGCAGGCGAATAGGTCTTCTTCATAATCCGACCAATCCTTGCTGTATACAAGGCAGTTTGTTGGGGAGGAGAAAGTTCCAGTACAATATTGAGGGAGGGATGAGCTGGGCAGGAATCTTTTCTGGAGCATAAGTAATGACTGGGTGGATGATCTGGCCTTGACTGAGGTGATAGCAGGCACTGAGCAGTAGTAGCACTGTTCAGTCATGGTCAAAGGAGAGTATGGGGTCTGAGGATCTTCATTACTGGCTGTGGTAAGCCTGAAGTATGCTGGGGAGTGAAACCGTCCATTCCTCAGGGTCCCCTCGAGGGGTAGGGGCTAAACAATTAAACGGGGGAATACCAAGCCCATGGTTCCCCCAGGCCACTCATGTCTGGCACAAAGTCCGCCCATCATCCTTTCAACACTGCTCTCAGACGCTAGGAAGTGGAGATGAAAAAGAAACGGAAAGGGGAAGAAGAAAAGACTGCAAAATTAGTTGAGTAAAGAGCTTAGGCCTAGAGCAAGGGTGATCCCCAGCACTGGGTCCCAGTCTCTGTCTCCTAGGCCCCCTCACAGCAACAACAGGCATGGGATTGGGGTGATATACATGCAAAAATATATATACTTAATCATTATATTACCTATTCACTCATTAATTGATCTATTCATTCATCTATCTATTTATCTACTTATTTATTAATCTATTGAAATATATAATTAATAAACAGCTATATATTCAAAACTTTGTAACATGAGAGAAGGAGTGCTTGCCTTGTTGGCTCCCCTCCTTATCACCAGATTTGTAACAGGTGAATCAGCTGTCCTTTTCTTACTATATTCTAATTCCATAAAGATATCAAAGCCATTTTTGTAAAAGAATTCATCTATGGTAAGGGAACAAAATTCACTCACCTGCTGGTTTTCTCTCTGGGGAGGTAAGGACATCAAAAAGTGATTTTTCCCAAGTGGGTAAAGCGCCGCCTTTGATATATAGAAGTCCCATTTGTATTATAGCTGCAGTTACTGCTAAACTTGCAACAACATAGAAGTGGTAGAACCATCTGAAAATGAATACTGTATATATAATACAATAGTGACATTTTACTTACATATTATAAATGATTCTACAAAATAGTACATGAAAATAATAGACTGACAAGACCTATGATACTCTTCATTCATAACATTTCTGCTACAAACTGCACACAGAGAAGTTATCTAACATCA